AGAGCTGAGTCTGCCATCCCGTCTCCCAGCCAGAGCTGGTACAATGGTAGGCTTCAGGAATCTTTTTGTGCCACAGTTTGCCCTCAGGTGAGGCATTGCCTACATGGAGACAGCGTGTTCCAAAGGGCAGCACGTGCCGAAGTTGGCAGCTGGGGGCTTAGGGCTGGATTTCTTGGAGGTGAAGTGCAAGCTCCAGAATATTCCTTTTATGCCTGAGATAACTAGTAAGGCCAGGAACAGAGTGTCCCAACTGCTGGCCTCTGTAGGCAGCTCCTGCCTGCTGTGGTCGTCCTTGTCCTTGGACCCCCAGGAGAACCCTGCCCCGATCTGCTTGGATCGCAGATTGGTCACAGGTCAGGGTCACTTTGAGCGGGCCCTTGAAGGCTTATGTTTATTCTGACTGCACTGGAGACGCACTGGAGGCTGTTGAGCTGCAGGGGGATCATGGCATACTTTGCAGTTGGGCGTGTGTGCGTGTGTGCGTGTGTGCGTGTGTGCGCGTGTGCGCGTGTGTGCGTGTGTGCGTGTGTGTGTGTGTGTGTGTGTGTGTGTGTGTGTGTAGCTCTGGCTGTTCTGGAACTCACTCTGTAGACCAGGCTGGCCTCGAACTCACAGAGATCCACTTGCTCTGCCTTCTAAGTGCTGGGATTAAAAGCGTGCGCCACCACCGCCCGGCTACTTTTGAACTTACTAGGAAAGTTACAAAGGCAGGAAGGGCAGCCCCTGTGTCCCTCCCTCAGTCCTCTTTGCTGACATCCCGTACCGCCTTGGTCCAGCTGCCAGAGGGGCCGTAGTATTGGGGTGCCACCCTTAGCTAGCTGCAGAAACTCCCTGTGGGATGGGGTGTGGCTCTCACGGAGGCCCCTCCCCCATCTGACAGGCTCCACCCCAGCACAGCAGAGAAGAAGAAAGCCTCCTATTGGTTGCCATGGAGGGGGGGTGAGTGGGGGATTCTGGGCAGCCCAGTAGCTGTTGTCACCCCACAATCAGCTAGGTGACACCTGTGAGCCATTGTGAGCCTTCCATTCTGGGCCTCAGACAGGGAGGTGTCCCCAGGCCAGAGCCAGCTGCACCATAGGCACCTGAGATGGGACCTACTGCCTTTACGGTGCCCACGGTTGTCATGTCTCATCCTCCTCTGATTGCCTACTGCGGAGGTATGGAGGTCTGGCAGGGTCTGTGGGCAGGATATGGCAGGCATACACTAAAGCCCCCCTGCAGCTGGCTTCCTGGGGGAGAGGAGCTGTATTCAGCTGCAATTACTGTGGGAGTGAGATCAATAGGGCAGCCCTTTAATGGAGAGTGGGCAGCGCTGAGCTTGGCCCCAGGAGGCAGCCAGCTCTGTAGGGAGGGGCTGTGTGCTCTCCAGGAAGAGCTGCAATCAGCGGCCATTACCTACCCCATTTCAGAGAGGGACAAACTGAGGATCTTACAGGAAACAGAGCTAGCTGCTAGGTTTTGTCTTGGCCGGAACACCTGCCTGCCCTGTGCCACACACACACAATGGGCCTACAGTGAACTGTCTTCTTCCATGCTTCTCCAGCACGCCATGGCTGCAGAGCCTTCCATCGCTCTGCTTGGGAAGGAAGCCGCTGAACATAATCTTTTACATCTTAGTCAAAATTAATTTCCCTCCTTTAGTAAATATCCACCCAAGAGTACTCCAAAGGAATCCACCAAACATGACACCCAAATAAACAGAAGTGCTGGCCAGTACAGTAGTGTCACAGAGAAGTGTGCGTGCACACGTGTGTGCGCTCACCTGCACACACGCATGTGATGGGTACGTACGCACATGCACGTGGAGGTCAGAGGACAGCCTCACAGATTTCTCAAAGCAGGCGAGGCTTGCTGGCCAGTGAACTGCAGGGTCCACATGTCTCCACCTCCTGAGCTCTGGGAGAACAAGCCTTCGCCACCAAACTCTTTTCTGTTTGTTTGTTTGTTTGTTTGTTTGTTTCTGAGACAGGGTTTCTCTGTGTAGCCCTGGCTGGCTGTCCAGGAACTCGATTTGTAGACCAGGCTGGCCTCGAACTCACAAAGATCTGCCTGCCTCTGCCTCCCCAGTGCTGGGATTAAAGGCGTGCGCTGCTGCTGCCGCCGCCGCCGCCGCCACCGCCGCCCAGCCAAACTCTTTTTTTAAATTATGGGTTCTGGGGATGAACACGGGCCTCGTGCTTGCCGAGCAAGGTGTCCACCCGAGCCATCTTCCCATCCCTGAACTTACTTTTTTTGGAGTCTCAAGTTGAAGGTTGACTAAAACGGTGCAGCCTGGGTTACCTGGAGAGCAAACATGGGTGGAGATGGGGCCTGAGGTGCCAGGGGAAGTCTGGGCAGACACTGGCTGCTGAGGGCAGGACCGGTGGAGAGGGGGGGGGAGGGGGGGCGTGTCTCAAGAACTGTAGAGAAACCGTGTTGTTGGCCTGAAGTGTGGGCAGTGGGCAGAACGGAGGCCAGGGGCCTGAGCAGCCGGCAGGATGAAATCCCATGGCCTCTGCACACCCTGGGGACAGTAGGGTGTCACAGGGTGTGACGGTGTCACAGGGATGGTGGTGTGCTGTGCCACATAGATCTAGGAATAGGTTGGGGTTGTGGGGGCCACCTCAGTGAAGGGGGCACTAAGGGAGAAATCCCAGTCCCTGGGGTCCACTCCTCAATCACCAAGTTCAGCGAGGCCATGCTCAGTACCTCTGTGCGTCTCCCAGCCCTGCTCCTGGCCCAGGCAGGCAGCTTCCCTCACCACACAGATCCTTCCAGACCCTGATGTTCACTTCTCCTTTAAAAAAAAAAAAAAAAAAAAAAAAAAAAAAAAAAAAATTTTTTTTTTTTTTTTTTTTTTTTTTTTTTTAAGATTTTATTTTTAGGATAAGAGAAAAAAAAAAAAGGTTGGGGGAAAGGCTTTTTCGAAAATTCCTTCGGCACAGAATTAATGGCTTGTGAACGTCAGGGCGGGCTGCGGGAGTCAGTTCCCAGCCTTTCCACTGCCTCCCCTCTCACTGTGGCCCACAAATCACCCCTAGCCCAGAGTCCACTCTGCCTCTCCCAGGACCCCCACTCCAGCTGGGCAGCCCAGCGGGGCTCAGCAGAGAACCCCAGAGCCACCCCCGGGATATCCCAGAGCTCATATCCCACAGCAGGGGTTTACAGTTTTAATTTAAAAAACAACTTATTTAATGACGCAAGTTAAGTAATCTGTATTCACTGGAGAAAGTTATGTAAGCTGTGGGAGACATGGCCTCAGAGGGATGGAAGGGCCATAGCATTGTGTTGTAGGACAGCTGGGGGGCGGGGAGCCCAGCCTGGGGACAGTTCAGCACCCATGTCCAAGGTTATCTCAGCTCACGTACATCTAGGGCAAAGGCGAGTGGGTTGGGCCCGAAGCAGAGGGCAGAAGGAGCCAGTTAGAGTGTAGACTGATTTTGTTTGCACTTACCTCTGGTCAGCCAAGGTCCAAGAGTATTTAATGGAAAATCCCAGAAATAAACAATTCATAATCTTGACATCGCTTGCCGTTCTGAGTACCACGATGGAGTCTTGCGCTCTCTACGCCTACCCTGCATCTGACTCTGAGCTATGTCCAGCGTTTCCACCCTGCCTAAGCTACCCACCTGGTAGTTGCTTGGGAGTCATGGTTACTGATCTCCTGTCCCCCAACGCCAGAGCTCTGTTGGAATGACCCTTACTTTTTCTTAAAGTACAGATACATGATGGTGGCTATTGGTCGCACCACAGAAAAGCCATGAAGTGCCCACTCTAGGAGAAAGAGTGGAAATTCTTGACGGAAAGCTGCCGAGGTCTGCGGTGCAGTAGGAGTGTGAGCCAGAGCCCACGCTACCACCCTGCATTGCCGTAGTCAGCCATTGTTCCGTTATCGCGGCTCCTACTGATAAACTCGTGTGAGACACATGTGGGACTGAGCTGTGCATATTAGGCCTGGTCCTTTTGTTTTCTGACATTCCCAGAGGACTTGGGACATATTCCCATGGGAGAACTGCTGTGCACAACCTGGCAGACAATAATGGGAAGGGAGAGAAGACAGCCCTGAGGCAGGACTGGCTGGCTTGGGAGGTCCAGACTCGGTTAGATGGCTGGAATGGAGACCTGAGGGCACTGAAGGCTGGGGTCAGGGAAGCCCTCTGCAAGCTCAGGCCACCATTGCTCTTGTCCCGACCCCTAAGGGAAGTATGTACACGTGCCCATTTTATAACTGAGTAAACCAAGGCTCAGAGAAGCCAAGTGACCTGTCACCCATAGCCACCCTCCGGGACACCTTTTGTCCATGAGATTTAGCCCAGGGCACCTCAGCCCCACCCCTTATCTGAGTTTGAGGCTCCACTCCCCCACACACACATATAGAAAGAGTCCCAAGAAAGAGTCCCAAGAAACTAGGAGGTGGGGACAAATGCCAGAACTTTGAGAGAACACAGTGGAGATGACAGGGATGCCTCTTGGGTGTCAGTAGGTGAACTGAGGCAAGGGGGGACCTTGGGTGACTTTCTTTGGGCTCTTCTGGCCTGTGCTATGGCTGGCCAGGAGGAGTGATGTGGCCAGGTGTGTGGCTGTCACCCAGTTCCAATCACCCATGTCTTTTATTCTGAATTGGGATTTCGCTGTATTGCTCAGGGTGATCTGAAATTCTCAGGGTCGGATGACTCTCCTGCCTCAGCTTCTTCCCCAGTGTCTGAAACTGCAACTGTGTACCCCTGTACTGTAGCACTAGTCTCCTAAAAGCCAAACTCGCCATCCTGTCTTGCCTTCCTGCCTCACTCACACCCCGTCCAGTTCCCACACACCTTAAGCACAGTCACCCCCTAGGAGTAGCTGTGTTACCTGAGGTCAGCAGACCCGGGTGGGGTCTGGGGATCTGTTAAACTTGGCCTCAGTTTATAGGGGGTGGCCGGTGTTCAAGCGGAGGCTGAGAGCCGAGATCCGGCTGTGTGGGTAAGCAGGGAGCCAGAGAAGGTTCCAGAGCTGAGGTCTAACCTGCCTGGTCTCCGCAGCTGCAGCTGGAGCAGCTGGATTGTGGTGCGGCCCACCTGCAGCACCCGCTGTCCATCCTGCAGCCACTGAGTGCATCGCCCGTGTTCCGTGCCCCGGGGCTCACAGCTGTGGCTGTGGCCAGTGCCAATAACTACACCGCCGTCTTCCTGGGCACTGCCACAGGGAGGCTCATCAAGGTAAGCGTGTCCGATGGGAGCCCCCCAGGGGTGGGCCACAGAAGGGCCGGTGTCACGGTCCTCTTCGGCTGGTCCCTCCAGGGCTCCACAGTGGCCTGTCATGGAGGGGAAGACCTGGCCTGAGAGCTGTCGGCAATCCTGTGTCAGCATCTCTCCTGGCCTGGGGCCTGTTGCCCAGCAGTGGCTTCTTGACCTTTGCAACACTCATGCTCCCTCTGGGCCTCAGTTTCCCTGCTGGCTGCAGTCACTGTGGGACTTCAGTGAGGGAGGCCACAGCCCTGCTGGCCACCACCTCAGGGTTCCAGTTTCTGGATTAACCATGCTGGTGACTACCCTGCAAGTTCCAGAGCTGAGGAAGGGCAAGGAGTTGCTTTGCTTACCCCAGGGCAGGGTGGGCACAGGGGACCACCCCTGCCCGCTGCCTCTCCACCTCCCTCTGTGGGGAGAGTCAGCCTCCGCACCAGGCTCAGTCTAATTGACTCACAGCCCATAATCTAATTCCCTTTGGCAGCTGCCTGGGTGGGATGGGGGTGGGGCTTGAGCCCTACAAGCCTGGCATGGAACCACCAGTTGTGGGCAGTGAAGACCCAGGGCCCCAACACATGTCACTCGGCTCCCGTCCCCTGCTGGGTGAAGGAGGTGGCCGTCAGGGCTCGGTGCTGTGGTCCAGATGAGTGGCCCCTGCTTTTGACGGCTGTTCCAGGCTGTGTGACCTGAGGGCATAGTTTGTCTCGTCTGGATTCAGACTCTGTCCATTGAGGAGCAATGAGGCAAATCAGGACTGTGGTCAGAGCCCTCTCCACCTTCTGCCCACAAAGCTGCCATCATTAGGCACCTGCTGCTTCCCCAGGGCCTCAAAGGGTACATCGCAGGCACCATGTCCTTCTGCTCTGCACCAAGCTAAGGATATAGTCGTGAGTCCTACCACACAGAAGGGGGCCACTGAGGTCCTTCAAGAGAGGTGACTACCCCCAGAATGACCACATAGCTAAATATGGGTCGTTGCTTTTCACTTTTAATTTATCTGTGCCATGCTTGGTGTGGAACTAGGACCTCAGTGATGGAGATAAACTCAGGGAGGCCCTGCCTGCCCCACAGCGCAGCCTGGAAAGGTCACACACCAGTCTGCACAGGGTGGTGTCTCTCCTGCTGACCCTTTCTCTGTTTGGAACTTCTATCTTAATCACCAGCCCCAGGGCTCAGTGAACATTGAGAAAGTAGATATGAATTAGTGTCTCTGTGTGTGTGGGGGGGGGTTGTGTGTGGTGTGAGAGAGATTCCCTGATAGCATCCCAAGAGGCCTCCGGGCAGCTGGGACATCTCAAAGGTCAAGCCTAAGCCTGGGGTGGGGGTGTGGGGAGGGCACAGTGTGACCTGGTACAGCCCAGAATGAAAAGGATGTGGTGGGGTGTATGTGTAACCGTGGAAGCACAGTGAGAAAGAGGTGGAGATGTGGCTGTGTGGATTATCAAGGCACTGAGGGCCGCAGCCAGCTTCTTCCTGCAGGGAGCCTCTGCAGGTTTGAGAAACCCAGAGGAAGGTGAGTGAGTGGGAGGCCGCAGAGGTCCAGACCTCCAGCCCTTAGATGAACAGCATAGAGTCCTGAGCACCCAGCACGCTGGGCATGAGGGGGAGGAACACAGATGGCCGGGCTTTGCCAGTCCTCAGAGGGGCCTGGGACCTTGCCCAGGACTCTGCTTGTCTGTTCACTGTCATCTCCCCTCAGCCCTGCAGGACAGGTGGCCCTCCTCCATGACTCTTACTCACTGGGTAAACTGAGGCTGGGGCGGGGGGGGGGGGGCAACGCATATGGATGAGTCATATGGCAACGCATGAGTGCAGCTCACTTCAGAACCCAGATTCAAGCAGCCTCCCAGAGAATGTTTTGGAAACGGCAGCCTACGCATATACCTGGGGGAAGTGCTGGAGTCAAGCCGAGTTCCTGGTGGGGGCGCTACGGGGTGCGTGAGAATGAGAGTGTGGTGCACACATCCCTTCCGCCTAAATGCCTGGCTTTCCCTTCAACCCGGGGGTAGCCTGACCCTGTGGGTGGCAGTCCTGGCATGAGCAGGTAATGGCCTCTCCTCCCACAGATCAGCCTGAACGAGAGCATGCAGGTGGTAAGCCGGCGGGTGCTGACGGTGGCCTATGGGGAGCCTGTACACCACATCATGCAGTTTGACCCCGTGGATCCTGGTTTCCTGTACTTGATGACGTCCCACCAGGTGAGGCGAGCTGCAGCCCGACGGCTTTGGTGCAGGGCCTTTGCGCATGCTGACCCTCCTGCCGGGGCCACCCCCTTCCCCACCTCTACCTCTGCTCACTCCTGTCTGGGGCCCCATGCTTCAAGGAGGCCATGTCTCCCCAACATGCCCTCACCTAACACCTCCCCCCTTAGCTACCCTAGCCTCACCAGGGCCGGGTGGCTACCTTGCTCAGTCGGGACCCATCTGCCTCCAGGTGGCCCGAGTGAAGGTTGCAGCATGTGAGGTGCATTCCACCTGCGGGGACTGTGTGGGCGCAGCCGACGCCTACTGTGGCTGGTGCACTCTGGAGACCCGGTGAGGACCCTGCCGTGATGGCAGGGAGGGATGGGGGCGGTGGCCCTGACCGAGGACCTGACCCCACGGTGCCTGCAGGTGCACCCTCCAACAGGACTGCGCCAACTCCAGCCAGCCGCATTTCTGGACCAGTGCCAGCGAGGGCCCGGGCCGCTGCCCCGCCATGACGGTGCTGCCCTCTGAGATCGATGTGCGCCGGGACTACACGGTGAGTGGAGCCGCCCCAGCACAAAGCAACAGCCAGGCTTTAGGAAGTTCAAGCTCACAGCAAGGGCCAGGCACCACCCCCATGGCTGGGCCACCTCTTCAAGGCCCCCCGTCATGGACTCTTGGCGGACCTAGTCACAGCTAGGACCACACACCCTGGGTGACAGAGCAACGCACAGGGCCGCTGCTGGTATTTCAATTGCGGTTTCTGAATATGCTGAGTGGGGACACCTAGATGGGGAGTCAGGTCCCTCTGTCCCCTTCCTGGGTTTGCTAGCAGCCATCACCTATCCCTGCTATGGCGGAGAAGCTGGTGGTGGCTAGGGCCAGCAAAGCCATGCCTGCAGCATGGTGAGTGGTCCAGCAGCCTGAGTCTCTCCCAGCTCTATCCTTACTGACGCCTCTGAGGATAGGGCCCTCCTAGGTCATCCCGGGGGTGGGAGTGGGGGTTGGGTGGGTCTAGCCAGTCTACTTCACCAGATCACCTTATCAGCCCTGACCTTATCCCTGGCAGCCTGGGGTAGACATAGTCACTCATCCCCTGGTCCATTCACATAGTATTGAGTGCGTATTGGGTGCCATGCATGTTCAGACTCTGGAGACAGTCCTGGCCCAGGAGGAGCTGATGTGCTCTTAGAAGGAGAGAATAGGCAGGTAAAATGTAGAGATGGTGCTGTATGCAGAATAGAGTGGGGTGAGGTGCAAGGGTAGGCAGGATAACAATACAGAACCAGCTGGTAGAGTGAATATGAGGAAGAATAGCCTGATGGGAAACTACAGTTCAGAGGCCCTGTGTAGGCAGAATATTCTGACCCACCAGCCAACTCCCAAATAACCACACAGAGACTTTTAATTATAAATGCTTGGCCAGTAGCTTAGGCTTGTTACTAACTATATCTTACAACTTAAATTAGCCCATATTTCTTATCTACACTCTACCACGTGGTAGTACCTTTTTTCAGCACAGCATGTTCATCTTGCTTCTCCCGCATCTCTTGGTGACTCCGCCCTTCTTCTTCCCAGAGTTCTCAGTCTGTCTCCCCCACCCATAGCTCTTCCTGCCTAACTATTGACCATTTAGCTCTTTATTAAACCAATGAGAGCAACACATCGTCACAGTGTACAAAAAAGATTGCTCCACAACAGCCCTGAGGTGGGAGTGAAGTCCACGTGTCTGGGGGTGGGGAGTAGGGTCATAGCAACCATGTGCTGCAGAGCCCTTCTGGTTTTGAGACTGTAGGCCAGTCTGGCCTTGAACTTGTAACGATCCTCCTGCCTCAGATTCCCAAGGGCTGTGATTCCAGGCTATGTCTCAGCACCTGGTTTACAGAACCTTTGTTACCTCTGAGATGAGTAGCCTCAAAAGGGAAAGCTGAAGCCCAAGGGTTACTTCCCCTAGAGTGCCTCGGATTCCCTCCTGGGAACCCTTTTCTGAAGGATCAGACATGCATGTTCTTGAGATGGGATCTGTAAGGGGCGTGGCCTGGGCCTCACCTGAGGGCATCTCTCCCCCAGGGGATGATCTTGCAGATCTCAGGCAGCCTGCCTAGCCTCAGCGGTATGGAGATGGCTTGTGACTATGGGAATGATGTTCGGACAGTGGCCAGGGTACCCGGCCCTGCCTATGACCATCAGATTGCCTACTGCAACCTCCTGCCCAGGGCCCAGTTTCCATCTTTTCCTGCTGGCCAGGGTGAGTGCCAGGCTGTGATGCCAGCCCAAGGATGGGACCCTGACGTCCCAGCTTTGGCTATGGATGAAGACCTTTTGTATCCCTGATCTCTTTCCAGATCACGTGACCGTTGAGATGTCTGTAAGGGTCAAAGGACGCAACATTGTCTCGGCCAATTTCACCATCTACGACTGCAGCCGAATTGGACAAGTGTACCCCCATACAGCGTGAGTGGGCAGTGGGAGGAGGCCCCCGCTTGGAGAACAGCTGCAGACTCTGGGACACACAACAGACAGGGCCCCGCATCCTTCTCTTGCTTAGAGCAGGCTCTGACCGGCCAGGCCCCTGCAAGCTGACACCAGACTGGTAGAGGCAGAGGGAACTAAAGACGTTACCTGTGCCTTCCTTGCATGCCTCTCACAGTGGGGAGCTCACTACCTTACAAGACGGTCCATCCATCTCCTTCCCCCAAGACACTGGGATCAGACTTCTGGGGCCCAGCTGGGGGTGGGAGCAGGAATCTGACAGGTTCCCTTGTCTTCCAGCTGCACCAGCTGCCTGTCGACGCAGTGGCCTTGCTTCTGGTGTACCCAGCAGCACACCTGTGTCTCTAATCAGTCTCAGTGTGAGGGCTCGCCAGACCCCACGGTAAGCCCTGTCTCGGGTACATCCCCACCCCTCGGCTTTAGTACCTGCTTCTCTTGTTTGTAAGGTTTTCATGGTGAGAGCTTCTCTTGGTCCTGGCACAGTCTTTGGCACTAATGGTAGTGAGGGGTCTCATCACAGTGTGTTTAACCGATCCCCTGTGGCTGGACAAGGGGTCTCATCACAGCGTGTTTAACCGATCCCCTGTGGCTGGACAAGCTGGTTGCCTTTTTTCATTCCCCTCTTTGAATCTCACTGGGTTACTCCCAGTTCTCAGAAACAACACTTCAGGGTTACAGTGTGGCCTCCTGGAAAGCCTGAGCCAGGCTGTAGCCCACACCTGCTGCTAAGGGTAGAACATTGTTATCACATGTTTTCAGCAGGCCTTTGTCCCTGTGGCTTTGAGAGGAGGCGTCTTGTTCAAAGCCATCTACCTGGAATGCAGAAGACTTGGGCCTTGAACCTAAATCCTTCTCTCCTTTCTTTGAAACCCAGAATTGGGTGCTAAGACCCTGCCTCAGTTCCTATGTTATTTCACTTCTTCCTGAAGGGCTCCTCCCTCTTTCAGGGATGACTCGTGAAATTCCCTAGACCTTGGCAGGTGAATAGCGGGGTTCAGAGCTCAGCCATGCTTCTCCTTGCATTAGGTCAGGGCTGTGCACCCTGGGGGGCCCATATGGCCCCTGGTGCTCGACCAGATCAAGTCACCAGACTGCTGCTCACGTGTCTCAGAGGCAGCCTAGCTTCAGGCACTGGGATTGGAGAATGCCATCAAGCCCTGTCTGCCACAACTGGGGGCCAGCCTTCAGCAGCATGCAGCAACCACGTCTGGCTCACAGAGTGCCCACAGAACAGGGGCCCTCACTGACAGGCCAGGAGTGACCCATGACCATACTGGAGGAAGCACTGGGTGTCAGGATATAGTGCACAGATCCAACATCCCCATGGCTCTGGGGTTGGGGGCATCTGGGTTGTGGCACTTCCTCGTCCACAACCCTAAGCTGCATACACAGCAGGGAGCTGGTGTCGGTTGGGGACCAGAAGTGTCCATTGTATCCGCCTTCTACATGCCAACCTGAAGGTCCAGGGACCTCCTTACAGTCCTTCAGCACTTACTGAGTGCTTGTTGTATACTTGAGTCTGTGCTAAGCACTGGGGAGAACCCAGTCAGATGTAGTTGTCTTTCCCATCTCAGGCCAAAAGCCTTAGCTCTCACTTGTGCTGTGTGATCCCAGGCAAGCTCCTGACCCTTTCTGTTCCTTTCTTCCTCTGTAAAGCGACGCCCACCACAGGGCTGGAATTACTTTAGGAGGGCAACAGCCCTGTAGTTGGCACATAGATGATTTTAGAAGCTGGTGGCTACTGCGTATGGGTGACCAGGAGAGACTTCTCTCAAGAGGACTTTTGTGTGGGGTCTTGACATCTGCGTAGGAGCTCACCAGCTGGGAGGCGTGTCGGACACTGGCGGTTAGCCTGCTCTCTCCAGGTCTGCAGCTCTCCCTCAGGGCAGGAGTGGGCTGGCCCCGGAGGGGCTGTCGTAGAACATTACCGTAATCTGGCAGGAGAAGAGGCAGCTTCAGCAGGGCCTGTGCAAGGCTCTGAACCAGTGCTCGACTTGGCATTTAATTAAGTGCCAGTTAGCTGTGGAGGTGCCAGGCCTCCTGGGCAGACGGCGGCCAGAGGGTCTGCATGTCCTCCCGGGACCCCTGGCTCCTGGAAGGGAGGCACTGCAGGTTGTGCATGCAGCCATGTGTGTGTGGTCCCCGCGGCTCCCACGGGGAGGCTGCCAGGGCTGGCTCCAGGGATGAGACGGAGGCAGCAAAGTGCCAGGTGTTCCAGGCTGGTGTGGCCTCTCCGAGGGCGGAGCTCCCAGGGCAGTGTGACGTCAAGCTTTGGAAGCAGAATGGGAAGTGGTAGCTGGATCGGAGCCTGGCATGTTCCAAACCACAGGGTGGCACAGTGCTGGAGCCAGTGACTTGGGTGGATGGATGGGAATTGACAGCCATCGGGGACTGTGGGCTGGGCCCCGGCGAGTGACTTGGGCCAGGGGGTCCATCACTGCCGGCTGGGTTGGGATGGATGCCAGGACTTTTTCTCTTGAGCTTGGAGACACTATAGGAGTTCTGGAACTCCTGCAGCTCCATTTTTCCAATGGCACGTTTGGGATCCTGGCCACTTAGCTCCCCAGCAGTTCCAGCCAGGCAAGGAGAGGCTCAGTGCCAACCTACGTGAACTAGAGTAGGTTCTGCGCACACCTACCTGATGGTAGTTTCTGACCACCCACCCACCCGCTTCTGCCCACTCATCCCCACTCTAGGTGCGGCCAGCCACAGCTTCTCAAGCTTGCAGGTTGGGTCAGCAAACGGGAAGAGCCATCTGATGGCCTGGGTGGAAACAGGAAAGGGAGGTCCATGTCCTCTTAAAGGAAAAACCCAGACTGGCTTCTGGTCCTTGGACTTAATCAGCTAATGCCAGTGAACAGTGAGAAGGTTGTTCACCTAGAGCACCACTGGACCCGGGAGTGAACAGTGACATCAGGGGCCCCCTAACCCTCCGGAGGATGCCACGCTCAGACAGGTTCTTCGTTCTTGGTGCCAAGTGCTCTCAGCAACTGAAGCTGGTTGGGGACCCCTCCCGCCCAGTCCAGGGACCTGGACAACGTTCTTGCCGGTTCCACAGGAGTTGTAGTGTTGAGACTGTCCAGTTACAGGACCCTGATCTGCTGCCTGGATGGTTCTCTTAGGCCAGGGTGGGCTTACGGATCCAGGTCAGTCTCCCCATCACGAGCCTGTTGAGGGCTGGGCCAGGCCAGGCCAGACTCAGAGGCAGATGGTGGGGCTGAGAGGCCACAGGTAGACGTGGGAGAGAGCGCGGACAGGGGCGTGGAGTTTTAGAAGGAGGTCAGGACTCAGCCCAGCCACACACCTACCTCAGAATGTGGCTCCTCACATTTTGGTGGTCTAGATTACAGGCGGTTAAAGGGAACAGGTGACTCTTAGGTGGCCCCAAGTGTTCACTGAAAGGCTTTCCTGAGTCCTGCCTGGGGTGAGCTGTTTTCCCTCACTGTGACACAGGTTCTTTGTCTTTAAAACGGGTATCGGGTTCTCAGGCTGGAAGGGTCCTCATACATGTGAGGTCACTCCAGCACAGGGTCCTGATACTGTTGTTCTTGCTTTCTTGCTAGTACCTTGGCAGCCTCTCAGGGTCTGGCTGGGCTGGGGTTCTCCCAAGGGGAATATCCCCTGTGCGATTAGGAACTAATAGTAATGTGAAGTAGCCCGTGGCTGCTCACCCGTATGTAAGCTCACCGCCGAGGAGGCGGAAGCAGGAAAAAGCAACTCTGAGGCCAGCTTGGGGCACGTGGCAAGCACATGGCGGGGGGAGGCTGGAGTTGCTGATGGGAGGGGTGGCACACGCCTGTGACCCTAGTCCTTGAAGCCAGCCTGTCTGAACAACATGGTGAGACCCTGTGTCCAGAGAGACAGAGTCGGGGGAGAGGAGGAGGGGAGAGAAAGAGCAGAGGAAAAACAGTGCCCCAGGAGAAGAGGGCCTTGTCCCAGAGGGTGATGTCAGGTGCACACAGTCTCTCCCAGCCCAGCCCTAACCCTACCTAATCCGTGCCCTGCCAGATGTGACCAGGAGGTCCCTGGCTAGAGGGTCCTGGTGGCCCCAGAGTGCATGATTGCTCCTGGGCCCTGTAACTTCTGGCCCCAGTAGGTCAGATGTTGAGGTGTGAATACGTAGGACCTTGAAGCTCCAGTACAGATATGGTCCCCAACATCCTGCTCGGAAGGATGTAGAGAGGGTGTGTCCACAGCCCTTGCCTTCTCTGCCCCCCCACCCCTAGTTTCTTCTGTACAGTGGGGTATGGTCCCCGAAAGCCACAGGGGCAATTTCTGGCTCAGGTCTGGCCCAGTGTTATGCCCTGGGAAGTTGAGTCCCAAAGACCCCAGCCACCAACAGTTCACCACCACCCCCAACACCCAGGCACTCTGGGTCTGAGGAGCACATCAAGGAGGCAGCCTCCACCTAGACAGAACCTTTTGCCTCTGCTCCTTCTGTCTTCTCATCTAGAAAGTGGGGCTGCAGGCGGCGGCTGCTGTGAAGGCTGCTGGCACCTTGGGTGGGGGGCAGAACTGTGTGTTGGGGGGGGCTCTGTAACATCCTGTTTGACCCCCTCCTGTGTTTGGTCTGCAGAACCCTCAGGACTGCCCCCAGATCCTGCCCTCGCCCCTGGCGCCCGTGCCCACGGGTGGCTCCCAGGACATCCTGGTGCCTCTGACTAGTGCCACCTTCGTCCATGTAAGTAGAGGCTGAGCGAGGTCTGTCCCGGCGCCCAGAATGGTGACCCTGCCTTTCTCTCTGAGCTCCACTCCAGCGGTCTAAGACCAGGCTGATGGCGGACAGCAGGCCGCCAGCAGCTGCCAAGGGAACCCTGGCCCACACCCCAGTACTCCTGCCCTGGAGGCTCCCTGGCATAGGGGCCCAGCCCTCTGCCTGGCACCACGCAGTCCACGGGTAGATGAGGTCCATGTGGGCTCCGCCTGCCCTGCCCAGACTGAGCAAGACCCTGGGTGCTCTAAGCTCTGTGGAACATACTGGCCCAGTTCAAGGCTCCCATGTCTTTCCCGGAAGAGACCATGCCCCTAATTCCCATGGTCTAGAGGGGACGCTGAGGGAGGAAGGGGTGTTTAGGAAGGGGATGTGCCCATCCCTGCCCCCTCCCGAGGAATGTGGCAGAGGGGGGTTGATGAGTTTTGGAAGGATGCCAGCCTCCCTAATTCCTGGGACATGCCATCTGTCTCTGCCACGCTGGAGTTGAGGCCCGTGACGGTTGTCACACGTGGGGGCCACGTGCCAGGCATCTGGGATGTGTCAGGGAGCCTCTTACAGGGTAAGAGCTCTTGAGGGCCAGGGTGGAGCTGCCCTCCACCCAAAGGCCTACCCTGCCAGGGCCTGGTGGGTCACAGGAGCAGGGTGGGGAGGCTCTAGCCCCAACTTGGCCCCGGCTGATTCTCTCCAGCTGTGTGGCTCTTGGCTCGTTCTCGGCTTTTACCAGCCATGGGAATCCCCACCCCCTGCCTGCCCCTTGCCCACCAGCCTCACCCTGACCATGCTTCTAGATCGCCTTGGGGGCGTGGGGCTGGGCAGCCCTGCGACAGGCTGCTCGGCCATGTCCTCGGGAGGGGACCCACCTCCAGCTCCGCGCACGCGCGCTGGGAACAGAACCAGCATTGGGCCCTGTCAGCAGCCTTTTCCCCTTGTTAGCTTCCGGCCAGGACCCCAGGAAGAAGAGGTTGTCCTGCTTTGTTCTCAGGGTGTCACATCTGCCAGCGGCAGGGACGTAAACAGGAAGCACTGGCACATGGCTGCTGGGGGCTTGGTCTGTTGTCACTCAGCAAATATTTATTGATATTACTCTTGAGGGAGCAAGATGAGACGGAGGAACTGGGCCTAGCTTAATGTGTTAACATTTATTGAGCACTTCCTGCGTACCACCCGTAACAAAGCACACATTAGACACCTGTATACGTAAGCCATAAAACATAGGGTCTGTGCTTTGCCCAGCAGACCTATTCACATAATACAGTTAAGAAAACCAAGGCTCCGAGAAGCAGCGCAACCTGCCTGAGGTCACATAACGAACAAGTAAAGGCGGGATCTATAGCTGGGCCTATGGGAGGGGGAACCCGAGCTTTCTACCAACTTCTGCTGGTCTTACAGGTGTATAAAGGGCCCTCTGGTGAGCTAGGACCTTCCTAGTTGGTGAGGAGACGTGGAAACAGGACACTTGCAGGGCAGGGCAGGCTTTGGGAACAGAACAGGTCCCTCAGGGTGCACCTCCTCACTGTTGAGGGCGGAATTCAGTAGGGGGTGCCCTGATCCAAGGGGGCCTCGGGGAAACAGGCTCTGCAGCTGGAATTTGGACACTTGGGATTCTCATTGATGGTAAAAGGAATACCAGCCCATGCAGAAGCCCTGGCACATGCCACATGGAGGTTGACAGGGTGTCTATGGTTTAACTTTACAGGGCAGAGACCAGGGACTCAGTCCAAGGGGCAAGTCAGGTCTCCTGGAGCTGGGGTGTCAGGAACTGGTGTGGGCCACTGGGGGTGACAGGGAGACTGTCAGAGTCATAGGTCAGAGTCCTCAAGTGTCTGCAGTTCCTGACATGATGGCCAGTAAGGAGATTCTGGGGCAAAAGCTTGGTGGAGTCCCCCCTAGCCCACCTGTCAGGGTGGCAGCTGCCATGCTCTGATAGAGGTATGAGGGATGGGTGCTGGTAAAGCCTCTGCCCTGTCTGCAGGGTACCTCCCTGGAGTGCAGCTTTGGGCTGGAAGAGAGCTTCGAGGCCGTGTGGGTGAATGACTCGCTGGTACGCTGCAACCAAGTGGTGGTAAGTGGCATGACCCCAGGAGGGCACAGAGGAGACCCACTCGGCCTCCTTCCCTCCTCACCCTACGTGCTTCTGCTTTCTGGTCCCCCCGTCCCCTGCCCTTATCCATCTTGGTGGCACCCTTGCCCCCACGGGAGACCCGGACCCCACCCTCCTCGCCTTTCACGCCCTCCTCATTTTGCAGCTGCACACGACCCAGAAGAGCCAGGTGTTTCCACTCAGCCTGAAGCTGAAGGGGCCGCCAGACAGATTCCTAGACAGCCCTAACCCCATGACAGGTGAGTGTCCGACCTATCCCCCATCGCCACTGGGAGGGGCCCAGCCGTGGGGGCTCCCCCAGCAGCCACAAACATCGTACCCCGTAAGTGCCCACACACTCGCTGAGACACTTGGGCCGGCCCCTCTGCTGTGGCCAGCCTTCTACCAAGTCGTGTACCTCCAGGACCTTACCTCCCCCTCTGAACCTCTGAGCCCTGTTGTCCCTGGGTCAAGGGAGGCCACAGCCCTTACTGCAAGACTGACCAGGACTCAGCCAATCCCTCTAAGTCTTGTCTGTAAAATGGGGCATCAGTAGTTCCTCCGCACAGGGTCCCCAGGAGGAGGAGTGTTGATGAGGCCGGGGACTGGACCCGGCTGCATAGTTAGGAGCCGGCCAAGAACTTTAAGGGCACCGACCCCAGAGTGGCCCCGCTTCAGGCTGACCATGCTGTCCTGTGTCCGCAGTTGAGGTCTACAATTGTGCTGTGGGCAGCCCTGACTGTTCCCAGTGCCTGGGCCGTGAGGACCTGGGTCACCTCTGTGTTTGGAGTGACGGCTGTCGCCCGAGAGGGCCCCTGCCGCCGCTCCCCGGCACCTGCCCAGCCCCTGAGATCCGATCGGTAAGCGCATGCCATGCCGGGCATTACTGACACACAGGCACCCATTGCTATGAGATTGGCTCATAGGTCACTTCCTGTGGCTACTGTTTTAATGGGGATGGTCACTGGGGGGTGGGGGTGGGGGGTGGGGGCTTTGACCCGTTGATTTTCAAAGCACCCCAGGAAAGCTCCATCCTGGTGACAGCTGAGCCTTACAGGAACTCATCAGCCTGACTTAGTTAAGAAAAAAAACCTCAGGGAAGGATTCTGATTGACTTAGCCTGGGCCAAGTGCGCGCCCCTAGGCCAATAAGCCTCTGGATTAGATGCTGAATTCTGTAGCCAGGCATGGCCACCAAGGGCCACATGACGTCTTCAGGCTCCCGTGAGACCCGTGCAGCCCAGCCACCATTTGCCCCAGCCCCCTGAACCCTCCATGTCCTCTGCTAAGTCGAGGGTCTGTGTGGCTCCCTCCTCTTGTGGGCCCATGTGACAATCAGAGGGACACCCAGACCTCAGACCCTCACTCGCCCTGGTTCCCCGGCAGATTGAGCCTCTGAGTGGCCCCTTGGACGGCGGGACCTTGTTGACCATCCGCGGCAGGAACCTGGGCCGCCGGCTCAGTGATGTGGCCCACGGTGTGTGGATCGGCAGTGTAGCCTGTGAACCTCTGGCTGACAGATACACAGTTTCAGAGGAGTAAGTGTCAGGTGCTGCCAACCTAATCCTCACCCCGCCCCCCTCGGTGGCACATGGCTAGGCCTCCTGCTGTCTCTGCCTGGGCCATTCCTCTATCCTGCCGGCACTCTGCTGCCTCTTCCAGGAAGCCCTCAGGGCTCTCCCTGCCACATCAGCCTTGCTTTGATGAGAACCACTTGATACTAGTAAAGTTTTGGGGGGGCTCTGATGGGGTATAAAGATCAGGGTGCGGCAGCTGGGCCCCAGGGCCTCTGGGGAATTCTGCAAGCAGGAAATTAGCAGGGTTTCCTGTTGAAAGGCACTGAGCCAGGCTTGCAGATAATGGCATCAGGTGGCCAACCTAGGCTAGCTGGGCAAACTGCCCGGTGATCAGAGATCATCTGATCTTACCCCTTGTCTCAGAGCCACCATCTGGGGAAACGGCGGAGTGTCGTGTCCCCCTTGGCCATCCCTGCAGTGACCATCTGCCCGTGGAGAACACTGTTGGTTGGGCATCCTGGTGTATGAGTGGGGGAGGCAGGAGCCATGGGCAGACACAGGAACTGGCTCACCCTCTGTCCACGTGCCTGCCCGTCCTCAGGATTGTGTGTGCCACAGGGCCCGCACCAGGGGCCTTCTCAGACGTGGTGACCGTGAACGCCTCCAAGGAGGGCAGGTCTCGGGAGCACTTCTCCTATGTGGTAAGTACACCACCACCACCACCACCCGCCACCATCTCACTCCCCATAAGCCAGAGCCTAACCCCCTTTCCTTCCCCCCAGCTGCCCGTGGTCCACTCCCTGGAGCCTGCCCTGGGTCCGAAGGCAGGGGGCACCAGGATCACCATTCACGGCAGTGACCTCCACGTGGGCTCGGTGCTCCAGGTCCTGGTGAATGACACGGACCTCTGCACGGACCTTATGTAAGCCATGCCCACAGCCTGCAGCTGGGAGGTGGGTGACCCCTCCATAGGTCTCCTCCGGGTATGCCTTGTTCGGTCCCTTCTTGGCTTGGATGTGGGAAGGAAGGAGGAGGGAGATGTCTGAGTCGGGCACAACCCAAGCCGGCATGGGACCAACTGGGCGGAAGTGGCAGAGGCCAAGGCCGGAGCACCTGCAGTGGGTGGGTGAGCCGCTGGGAAGGGCCACACTCATGGCGTCCGCTCGTCACTCCCCATAGGCGCACGGCCACCAGCATCACCTGCACCGTGCCTAGGGGCACCCTGCCCGCTCCGGTGCCCGTGTGTGTGCGCTTTGAGAGCCGGGGCTGCGTGCGTGGGAACCTCACCTTCTGGTACATGCAGAACCCCGTCATCACCGCCATCCGTCCAGGCCGCAGCCCTGTCAGGTGAGATCCAGATCCACCCATGCCCACCCGGTGTCACTGTCCAGGCTGCGGGGAGCCTGACAAGTCTTGCTGTCCCCTCAGCGGTGGCAGGACCATCACTGTGGCTGGCGAACGTTTCCACATGGTACAGAACGTATCAATGGCGGTACACCACATTGGCCGGGAGCCCACGGTGAGGGGACAGGGGAGATGGGGGTGGGGAGATGGGGAGGGTGAGGTGGTCCTGTGCAGCCAGGGTCCTGAAGTTCCTGCTCATGTCTGCTCCACTTGGTCTCTCTATCTCCCCCCCTCTCTTTACCCTCACCCTCCAAACTTCTATTCTCCTGGGTTCATCCTACCCAGTTCTGCAAGGTTCTCAACTCCACGCTCATCACCTGCCCATCTCCTGGAGCCCTGAGCAATGCTTCGGCACCTGTAGACTTCTTCATCAATGGCCGGGCATATACAGACGAAGCAGCTGAGGAGCTGCTGGACCCTGCGGAGGCCCAGCGCGGCAGCCGGTTCCGCCTGGACTACCTCCCCAACCCACAGTTCTCCACGGCCAAGAGGGAGAAGTGGATCAAGCATCACCCAGGGGAGCCGCTCACCTTAGTCATCCATGTGAGCACCTGGCTGGGAGGACAGGTGACGGGGGGCAGGGGGCAGCTGACCTGGGAACCCCACCCCCATCCCAGCATCCAATCTGCACCCACAGAAGGAGCAAGACAGCCTAGGGCTCGAGAGCCATGAGTACCACATCAAGATTGGCCAGGTGTCCTGCGACATCCAGATCGTCTCAGACAGAGTCATCCACTGCTCGGTCAATGAGTCCCTGGGCACAGCTGAGGGACAGTTGCCCATCACAGTGAGTGGGCGGGGGCTCTGGAGGTGGGCGGGCCCGGCTTCTGGGTACAGAAGTCGCTGAGTGCTTTTGTACTCAATAACTTAGGCCAGCAAAGCAGAGCTTTTATACCCTGACTTGACAGATGGGGAAACTGAGACCCAAGTCATTAGTTAGTACCAGAAGCTATTCAAAAGTGGCTCCTGCCTGTTTGGGTGTCCCGCCCAGAGTGTGGCCTGCCAGTCATTATGTACAACTATGGAGAAGAGCAAAGACAGCTGGGGGTGGGGGGTGACAGACAGAGGACTTTCTATACTGCATCTGCAT